TTGACGAAACAAAGTGCTTACACGACGAGACTCGACCGAAACTAACTACACGAAACAACAAACAAGAAATCTGGCGTTGGGGGCATGTTCAACGCCTCTACAAAACACGACGCCAGTGGGGCGTCGCGTGCGATCGTGTGTTTTTGTCCGTTCAGAGCAGCAGGGTGGTCTCGGCAACGATACCAGTGACGAGGTAAGGGTCGCAGTTCGAGGCAGGGCGACGGTCCTCGAGGTAACCGTAGCCTTGCGCGGCAACGTGACGGGGGATGCGGATCGAAGCGCCGCGGTTGGCAACACCGGACGAGAAGTCGCCAATGTGGCCGGTCTCGTGCTTGCCCGTGAGACGCTTGTCGTTGTCGGCACCGTAGACGGCAATGTGCTCGTGGTGGCGCTTGGCGAGCTTCTCGATGGCAGCCTCGATGGCCTTCATGCCGCCCTCCTTGCGCATCGAGTCGGTCGAGTAGTTGGTGTGGCAGCCGGCACCGTTCCAGTCACCGGGGACGGCCTTGGGGTGGAACGAGACCTTGACGCCCCACTCCTCAGCCACGCGGATGAGGAGGTAGCGCGCAAGGGTGAGGTGGTCGCCCATCTCGATACCCTCGCAAGGGCCGACCTGGAACTCCCACTGGGAAGGCATGACCTCGGCGTTGATACCCGAGATGTTGACACCGGCGTAGAGGCAGGCGCGGTAGTGGGCCTCGACGAGGTCACGGGCGAAGACCTTGCCGGCACCGGCACCGCAGTAGTAGGGACCCTGGGGGCCGGGGAAACCGCCCTTGGGCCAGCCGTACGGGCGGTCGTCCATGTCGAAGAGCGAGTACTCCTGCTCGAGACCGAACCAGGGCTTCTCGGCAGCGACCTGGGTCATGATCTTGTTGCACTGGTAGCGGTAGTTCGACTTGTTGGGGGTGCCGTCGTTGTTGTAGCACTCGGCAAGAACAATGACGTTGTCACCGCGACGGAAGGGGTCGGGGTAGTAGGCGGCGGGGCGGAGGTAGACATCCGAGTTGCCGCCGGGGGCCTGGTTGGTGGAGGAGCCGTCAAAGTTCCACTCCTTGAGGTCCTTGAGCGACTTGACGGGGCCGTCAAGGGTGGTGGTCTTGCCACGGATCTCGCCTGGAGAGCAGAGAAGGAACGAGCAAGCACACGAACGGTCAGCTTCGTCCTTTGGGAGGCTGCGAAGACGAGAAGTGATTGGCAGCTCCTGCGGGCAGACCGCATCCAAGCCAAATTAGAGAAAAGCGGATACTCACCATCGCCGTCGATCCAAATGTACTCGGCCATGACCTTGCCACGCTGGTCAAGCTCGAAGTAGGGGTTGACGAGACCTGTTGGGGAGGCGATTGCCAAGGCAGAAGGGAAAAGGCGATTCGGGTAAGTGTCTGAAGAGATAAGATTGTACGGAGAAGCCGTATCGCACGCTCGAATGTCTCTGGAGGGCAGCGAAGCCATAGCAAAGAATGCAGCGCATCGACCGAGCGCACACGACAGCAAGGCGAGCACAGAAGGACTGCGTAGACCACTGCTGCGGACGCACTCAGAGCCACTCGCAGAAACCTGCAAGCTCACACAGCAACGCTCCGAGAGCGACGCTATCGAAACGAGGCAGCTCCCGACATAACCAGCAGTGTTGACAGCATTGCCGTGGACACCACCGTTTTGTTCGGCACGGTGAGGGAGAGCCAGCGGCAACGATAGCGCCGGGCTCGCGAGACACCGAGCAGCGTCGACACGGGTGTACAAGCTACTTACCCGGGTTCTTAATGAAGGGGATAGCCATGGTGAAAGATGTTTTGTGACACTTGGGTCTACAGTGAGATGGACGAGGGAAGGGATGAGAAGATGTTGGAGAGGAAAGAAGGACCGACGAAGCTCGGAAGCGAGTAGATGAGATGGGGGGAGCCAGTCGGGCGAGGTAGATTTGTGCCCGGCAGCTGATAACGCACGGCTGTGCGCCCGAGAGTGGGAGCGAGCGAGAGAGTCAGACGGCGCCGGACCGCTCGAGGAGTGGGCGGGCG